GAAAATCAATATATACAGCACCAGTTACTTGACCTTTGTTCAAAGCAGCACATATTTGTTCAGTGAATRAAATTAATGCAGACATGGTTGACCTTGACGTGCAGAAACCATGTTGGCTATTGCTTAGCATATTATTAGCTTCTAGACGCTGAAGTAGTTGATTAAATAATGTTTTTTCAAGTAACTTAGAAAAAATAGGAAGAACAGAAATTGGCCGATAGTTTGAAACTTCTRYTGGRTCACCAGATTTAAAAATGGGAGTAATCTGAGCAAACTTCCAGGCATCATTTCTATTTAACTTGGACTTGTTTTTATTCCATCTTTTCATTGTTCAGAAAAAAATAAATATAAATCTATCCAGACACATGGAGCCCATGGAAAGTGAATTTGATTGTGGTTGATGAAAAGCGTAAATATATACCATTCTGACATCCTATTGGATTGAACTCACTCCATCACACCTGTGTGACACAAATCACATCACATTCCAGCTGGACATCCTGAGGGGTACAAGTACCCCATGGGTTACACAAGCATTTTATGGGGGCACGTGGAAAAATTTCCCAGGTGCTCAAAAAAATAAATAAAAACAGCAATGCGGAAATCACAGATTTGATACAAAATGGAATCCAGTATAAAAAGCAGAATCTCATAGAATTTGCTCTTTTGGGTGAGTTTCTGATGTATTTTGGATGGTACAATGTATTTTGGACCTTGCTGTTTTCTGCACCTGCCATTACCTGGATTACTTATTTAATTACATATTCACTTCCAAGGCAACATTTTTATCTTTATTTTTAATCTTTCTTTGAAAAGAATAAAATGCCTGAGAATTAAATGTTCTATGGGGTTATATAAATAATTTTCATTTGATAAACAGTTGTTGTACATTATAGTTTTTGAGAATCATCATTACATACTTTTTCTTGAGTAAAAAGCTGAAGTTGATACTTCTACTTCCAAAAAAGTATTTTAAACCCTAGTATCTATACTTCTACTTAAGTAATGAATGTGAATACTTTTGACACCTCTGCTACCTACTGTGAGAACTGTTCAGATTAGATTTTTTTCTAGTAAAATCAACCCCCCCCCACCCAACTGTCCTTTTTGGATCACAAGGAACATAGCTTTATAGCTTTAGGTGTCACTGTGCAAAAGGTAGAGGACACCCTGGACAGATCTCAAGTCCATCACTGGGACACATAGAGACAAAATGAGACCATTCACATTGTCTCTCACACCCAGGGACAATTAGGAGTTACAGATCAATCTTAACATGAATATTTTGGTCTGTGGGAGGAAATCAGAGAATCTGGAAAAACATCAATAGAATGTGTTCTACAAGGGCGTCACTAGTTTTTAAGGACAAGGGGAGCTTAGCCCCCAGGAGACGCCCAGAATTTTTGTATGTTTGGTTTATTATACATTTGAGAGAGAGAGAGAGAGAGAGAGAGAGAGAGAGAGAGAGAGAGAGAGAGAGAGAGATTATATTTCAGTTGAACTATGTATTCTTCTTATAAATGAAGCTTTTAATAGCTTATGTTTAGGGTTTCAAGCAAAACAAAGTAAATAAAAGAGTTTGGTTTTCAGCAAGTTATGATTGATAAACAGGCTGATACTTCATTGTGCCTGACAAGAGCCAGCGTCCTTTCCAAGATGGCGGCCCCTTGGCTCGACCGCAGCATTAGTGATCCATCTATGAGGGATTTACTCTTTATATACAGTATATGTTTATGGTTACAACCAGCAGTGATGATTAATACTTACTTTCATGAAATATTTTCGTCTATCCACTTTTCACTGAACATTCTCCTGATCTGCTGCTCATTGAAACTTCATGCTGCTCTTAGCTGGCTCTGTGTGTAAACTTACACACTGCAATTAAGTTTGCAGCAAAAACGTGGACTGGAATTCATGTGGCGTGGGAGTTCTCTATATGAACAAATGAGTAGGATAGGATAACGACGCACCAAAGAGGATCTCTACCTTACACTATAAAGTAAAAGGAAATTGACAGATTTATGATCATATATTTGAGTTGAAATTGTAATAATATATGGTTATTTATTCAAACTCATATTCTGGCCACATTATATGGAGTTTTTTAAACACCAAAATTATTTAGAGGGGCTTGAAAATAACTCTCTGTGTAAAATAGGCTCAGTGGTGCCACTGGTGCTCTATAGCCAATTCTACGATCGCTCTACTTTTATAGATAATCAACAAATTATATTTCATCTTATTGTCAACTTCTACTTCAGCCTCTCTGGTACTACAGTGCATTTATTCATTAAATTAGTTTTGTATAAAAATACTAACATACGTAAAAATGAGTAAGTGTTTTGCTTACATGGCTGTTTGTTCCTCAAGGTTGGCTGACACTGTTTTCYATGAACCGTGGAGTGGTAGGAATCAAAGGGGTCCAGAGTGGTTTATACCTTTGTATGGATGAGGATGGACTGGCATATGGAGAGGTTTGTAGGCTTCTGGTATTACAAATAAATCTATCATGGACCCAACTATCCAGTCATCTGTAATGAATGCCAAATTTGAAGCATTAAAGTCAAACACATAATGTGAATTTTCTGCGTTCTCTGTTTAGGTGGAGTTTTCTGATGAATGTCTGTTCAAGGAGAACTTACTGGAAAATCATTACACAACCTACTCATCTCTCTCTTACCCAGGAAACTACCTGGCTATTTCTCGCAAAGGACACCTCAAGAGAGGAAGCACTGTTAGCCCATACCAYTTATCAACCCACTTCTTACCACGAAGGACACTGTAATGAGACACTGAGCTTCCTGAACAAATATGAGCTTACAGTATATGACTGCCATTTTTCACCTTCAGTTTGTGAAAATTATCGCAGACCAGAAACTGGATTCAACACATCCAATTTATGTATTTAATAGATTTATTTTGTTACATAGAGCTAGTCTCTTCCAAATGATGGGGATTAATGAAAAGATGACCAAGATACAATGATAGAAATGCTGAATGGTGCCAGGGAAACTGCTCCCTAAAATTTCATCCACTTTTTTATTTAAGTCGAAAATGTAATTTGGGACTTCCTTTTGCAATAATATAAGCTGACACAAAGCCAACATTTTTATATAGAAACTGTAGAAGAAATTGAAATAGAATCAAAATCATAGAAATATCAAAGCTGCTAAAAAATAATTAAAATAACAAAGTATTGAGCTCAGATACAATGAAGGTCAATGAGAGTTTGGATGGGCACAAACTACGCTCTTCCTCCTATAGCAGTGAAATACAAAGTGGATAAAAGAAGATAAAAAACTGTTTAAAAGAAGTGTAAAGAAATCTTTGCAAATCAATAAAGTCAATGAACTTCAACTGAGGTATAAAAGCTGTTAAAGATGTCTAAATGCCCATTCAGTCATTTGATGTCCATGGCACCAGTGCTTAGTACTGCAGTTTTGTAATCCTTAAGATGAGGACACCTAACACCAGAAAGAGCAAATAATTGCTAAATATTTTTATTGTGTTGTTTTACTGTGGAGAGCCCAGCATAAAGGAGCAGCCAAAACAAGAAGACGTGTAATATTCAACTTTCTGTGACCTATTTCACTTTGGACAGATACTCTATTTCTGCTGTGGAATCTGAGCTGTGTTTCTCCAAACAAAGCTGGATTTTCTCATTTCAAATGAATCCTGTTGTTGTTGTTTGTGGGGAGGTGTTTTTGCTTTTTATTATTATTATTATTTTTTTTTTTTTGTGAATTTTGTATAAGTGATATAATGTACTGTTACCAAAAGTACACTAATCCCGACAACAGTTTTTTAGTTTGAGTTTTCCTAAAACATTGCAAACTAAAAACAATGATGGAAACAAAACAATAACGGGTGAACGGGTTGTTTAATAATTATGCATTGGCTCCCTTAACAAGTCTATCCACATTCTCTGTAGTTTTTTGTAAAACTTTATGGGTACAAACCTTTTAGAGCAATTATGTAGACCAACTGTATGATCAACATGCAGCTGCTTCCACTGAGTAATGTTCTTTGATTTCATARATATATTTTTTCTTCTAAGATACTGTAGATTTAAGAAAGTCCTCTCTTGCACCAGATTCTGGCTGCTACAGACTTCAGATACAGTATCTAAAATGTTGAAGATCTACACACGTGGAAAAAATTGCTGGTACCCATTGTTTAATGAAAGAAAAACCAACAATGACCACATAAATGTCTTGTATCTAACAAAAGTAATGATAAATWAAAAATTTATAAAAATGAAGAAATGAAAGTCAGACACTGCTTTTCAGCCATGCTTCAACTGAATTAAAAAACAAAAAAACTCAAAACAGGTCTGGACATAAATGTTGGTACCCCTGAAAATGTTAAATCAAGGTGTGTCCACTAATTGGCATCACAGGTGTCTACAATCTTCTAATCAGTCAGTGGGTCTGTATATAGGTGTAAGAAACTTACACCTCTTTAACAAAATTATAAGGATATTATTTAACAAGGGATCTTTGTTTATTAAGGAAAATATTTCCTCCATGCAGAGAGAATGACACAACACGAAAAGTGACTTAGCTTAGTGAATTTTGAGTTGATCCATCAATAAATGCCATCATTTAATTACACAATCAAACATAATCACTACAGTACACTTATTTGTGACAATTAATTTCCTAAAAGAGTTAAGAATTAACAACAAGAAGCACGCTTCGAGCTTAGTTATTTATTGATCCGACAACTCTAGGGACAACAAACATCATGCTCTAGATGTTGACAAACCAGACATTTGCAGGTACTTTACTTAGGTTTGGCAAGGCAGATAGTTTAAGAAAAGGGGGAAAGTAGGAGATTAGCGGTTGTAACTAATCTTTAAAGAATATGGGAATTAACCAGAAGACCAAATCTTCCACAGCTGGCCATCAGCTAGAAACTAAGTACGCTCGCAACCACAAAGCCTCTACCTTGAGATGATTTCACCATCACAGTTCGGGAAGAGTTCACTTGGTTGGCATAAGAAATCTGTCAGGTTTTTCCTGCTCAGCTGTTGCACTCCAGTGTCTTGACTTTCAGCGTCTCCTGACTCCGCGTCACAACCGCACAGGATAGACGAGCACCTCTGAGTCCCGTTGCAAAATAAAAGTTGCTTCCCACAGGAAGTCAAGACAAAGTTGCTTTGTGAAGATTTAAGCTCGTATTTTGGGCACAACAGGTGGTGATGCATCCCAGCTCACGAGATTCCCCGTTGGCTTAAAGGGTTYGAATCTTGCTGCGCCAACAGCACTGTTTCTCTGGGAGGTCATGTTTTGGATGGAAGTGAGTCCATCTCCTTCTGACTCTCCAGGCAGAAACGTTAGTCACTGAAGAAGAGATTTTTAGTTCTGCCCTCAGTCAATAAGTCTAGTAAACAGAGGGATAAGAGAAAATGTTAGTTCAGAGATTGTCGTCACCATCTGAAGCTAAACAAAGATTATTGCTTCTGCACAGTTGCATAAACAAAACATATATTGTTGACCTGTTTAGATATTCTCTGATGAGAACTCTTAAAAATGACTGAAAGAATGAATCACTTATATTGAGCAGAAAGCCAGGTTTCAACTCAAAAACATTTTATGATGATTACTCAGGCAAATAAAAACATTTCTGTTTCATAATAACTTAATCCGTGTTAATTAGTTTAGTTAAGTAAGACATTTCAACAGAAAAATTCATACATAGCTGAATCACATTGAGAGAGAAAAGATCTGTCCTCTTTTCTCCCATAACTTGAAAAACACTGTTTCATGATCATCACCTATGTAACAACTCTTAGTTAAGAGAAAAATAAATCAAATAAAAAGAAGATTATTCTGTTTATTATCTGATTACCGTATTTTTCGGATTATAAGCYACACCCGCCATTTTTTWAAAAAAACCTGCGAACATTAGTATATAAGCCGCATCGGACTATAAGCTGCACCCCCAACATAAAAAACCAGTACACCCAAAATTGTCGTCAAAAAAGTGAATTCAACATCAAAACATAAAAAGCAAACTTTTAGGAATTAAAGTTCGGAGGAATACRGTTCATTTAACTGACCTTATTTTGGTAGTTTTCTTTAACAGTTTCTGGTCCAAATAAACGTCTCATTCATCTTCCTCTGGCGCACTGAAACCATCAAAGTCCTCCTCTTCAGTGTCGGAGTTAAACAAGTTCAGAAAAGCTGCGTCACACAGCGGTATCTGTTGTCCTCCCGGGGTAATGCTGGCTCTGAAGCTGTGGTGCCCTCTTCACGTAGCAGTCCAGCATTTCGGAACCCATTGGTGATGGTGGACTCATTCACTCTGCTCCACCCTGTTAGGATCCACTGGCAGACATCAGGAAATGACGTTCTTCGCATTCGGCCATTTTTTGTGAAGGATTCATCCCCGTCAGTCATCCAAGCCTCCCATTCAGCTCTGAGTGCTGCTTTAAATGCACGATTCACACTGATGTCCAGGGGTTGCAAAACCTTTGTTGTACCTCCAGGAATAACAGCAGGAATTGAGTTTGTTTTCTTGATGGCTGCTTTCACCGAATCCGTGATGTGGGCCCGCATACTGTCCGATATCGTGTCTGTCGAAGATCCGTCGTGTCGTGTCTGCTACTAGCTAAAACAAAATGGCACTACACCTCCGGCTAAGCTGGCAGTATGGTCGCTCGGCTGTCGACCAGTCGACGCGCCGTCATGTAGTTGTTTGGCGTTCGTTTTCGCACTGACGTTTCATAGTTCCCCCGAGACACCCCGAGCCGAGCTGCTGGGAAACTCCTCCCACTCCAGCATACGTTACTGAATGGGATTCCTTCCTCGGGGAGTGCAATGCGGGAAAAAAAGTCTGCGGCTCTTCACTCAACGTTATTTATCCACAAACTGGTCCCGGCTTAAGCTCCAAAGTTTTTGTCAGTCAGATTCCACCGTGAAAAATGTCTGTTTTATCCCCTTTTGTGAGTTTTTTTGAGTTTGTGGGGGCTCTTCCGCGGATAACAAAGCAGGTAGGAGGGGGAGAGGACGAGGAGAAGAGTAGTGGACTTATTTCTAATTTTATCTGACTTATTTAACTTAATTTTTTTATCGTGCAGGCTCTGATGGGAAATTGATTTGAAGCTGAGGTGTTTTATTTTTTTTATAAAAAATCATTAGATTACATCTTTCCTTTATAAATCACAGCTGCACGTCAGAGTTTGCGCACGAGGTCCCGCCTCAGGTT